CTGTGAACTCTCACTATCACTGTGGTCTCTCACTATCACTGTGGCCTCTCACTATCACTGTGGTCTCTCACTATCACTGTGAACTCTCACTATCACTGTGAACTCTCACTATCACTGTGGCCTCTCACTATCGCTGTGGACTCTCACTATCACTGTGGCCTCTCACTATCACTGTGAACTCTCACTATCAATGTGGCCTCTCACTATCACTGTGAACTCTCACTATCACTGTGAACTCTCACTTCACTGTTGGCCTCCCCCACTATCACTGTGGACTCTCACTTTCACTGTGGCCTCTCACTATCACTGTGAACTCTCACTATCAATGTGGCCTCTCACTATCACTGTGAACTCTCACTATCACTGTGGTCTCTCACTATCACTGTGGCCTCTCACTATCACTGTGGCTTCTCACTATCACTGTGGCCTCTCACTGTCACTGTGAACTCTCACTATCACTGTGGCCTCTCACTATCACTGTGGCCCCTCACTATCACTGTGGCCTCTCACTATCACTGTGGCTTCTCACTATCACTGTGGCCTCTCACTGTCACTGTGAACTCTCACTATCACTGTGGCCTCTCACTATCACTGTGGACTCCCACCATCACTGTAGCCTCTCACTATCACTGTGAACTCTCACCACCACTGTGGACTCTCACCATCACTGTAGCCTCTCAACATCACTGTGGCCTCTCACTATCACTGTGGACTCTCGCCACCACTGTGGACTCTCACCATCACTGTGGCCTCTCACTATCACTGTGGACTCTCACCACCACTGTGGACTCTCACCATCACTGTGGCCTCTCACTATCACTGTGGACTCTCACCACCACTGTGGACTCTCACCATCACTGTGGACTCTCACCACCACTGTGGACTCTCACTATCACTGTGGACCCTCACCACCACTGTGGACTCTCACCATCACTGTGGCCTCTCACCAAAACTGTGGCCTCTCACTATCGCTGTGGACTCTCACCATCACTGTGAACTCTCACCATCACTGTGGCCTCTCACCATCACTGTGTTCTCTTACCATCACTGTGGACTCTCACCATCACTGTGGACTCTCACTATCACTGTGGACTCTCATCATCACTGTAGCCTCTCACCATCACTGTGGCCTCTCACTATCACTGTGGACTCTCACCATCATTGGCCTCTCACCATCACTGTGGACTCTCACCATCACTGTGGCCTCCCACCATCACTGTAGCCTCTCACCACCACTGTGGCCTCACACCACTGTGACCTTTCACCAACACTGTGGTCTCTCACCACCACCACTGTGACCTCACACCACTGTGGCCTCTCACCATCACTGTGGCCTCTCACCACCACTGTGGACTCCCACGACACCAATGGGATTACTAACAGACTCCTGGGTATTTTCAAAACCCCTGGTTGTCTTTAAGACCCCTGGTTGCCTTCAAGACCCCTGGTTGTCTTTAAGACCCCTGGCTGTCTTTAAGACCCCTGGCTGTCTTCAAGACCCCTGGCTGTCTTCAAGACCCCTGGCTGTCTTGAAGACCCCTGGTTGCCTTCAAGACCCCTGGTTGTCTTCAAGACCCCTGGTTGTCTTTAAGACCCCTGGCTGTCTTCAAGACCCCTGGCTGTCTTTAAGACCCCTGGCTGTCTTCAAGACCCCTGGCTGTCTTCAAGACCCCTGGCTGTCTTCAAGACCCCTGGTTACCTTCAAGACCCCTGGTTGTCTTCAAGACCCCTGTTTGTCTTTGAGACCCCTGGCTGTCTTCAAGACCCCTGGCTGTCTTCAAGACCCCTGGCTGTCTTCAAGACCCCTGGTTGTTTTCAAGACCCCTGGTTGCCTTCAAGACCCCTGGTTGTCTTCAAGACCCCTGGCTGTCTTCAAGACCCCTGGCTGTCTTCAAGACCCTTTGTTGTCTTCAAGACCCCTGGCTGTCTCTAAGAACCCTGGTTGTCTTCAAGACCCCTGGCTGTCTTCAAGACCCCTGGCTGTCTTCAAGACCCCTTGTTATCTTCAAGACCCCTGGCTGTCTTCAAGAGCCCTGGTTGTCTTCAAGAGCCCTGGCTGTCTTCAGGACCCCTGGCTGTCTTCAAGACTCCTGGTTGTCTTCAAGACCCCTGGTTGTCTTCAAGACCCCTGGCTGTCTTCAAGACCCCTGGCTGTCTCCAAGACCCCTGGCTGTCTTCAAGACTCCTGGTTGTCTTTAAGACCCCTGGCTGTCTTCAAGACCCCTGGCTGTCTTCAAGAGCCCTAACTGTCTTCAAGAGCCCTGGTTGTCTTCATGACCTCTGGCTGTCTTCAAGACCCCTGGCTGTCTTCAAGAGCCCTGGTTGTCTTCAAGACCCCTGACTGTCTTCAAGACCCCTGGCTGTCTTCAAGAGCCCTGGCTGTCTTCAAGAGCCCTGGTTGTCTTCAAGACCACTGGCTGTCTTCAAGATCCCTGGATGTCTTCAAGACCCCTGGCTGTCTTCAAGACCCCTGCTTTCTCCCGACCCTGGCTGTCTTTTAGACCCCTGGTTGTCTTCAAGACCCCTGGCTGTCTTCATGACCCCTGGCTGTCTTCAAGACCACTGGCTGTCTTCAAGATCCCTGGATGTCTTCAAGACCCCTGGCTGTCTTCAAGACCCCTGGCTTTGTCCAAGACCCCTGGTTGTCTTCAAGACCCCTGGCTGTCTTCAAGACCCCTGGCTGTCTTCAAGACCACTGGCTGTCTTCAAGACCCCTGGTTGTCTTCAAGACCCCTGGTTGTCTCCAAGACCCCTGGCTGTCTTTAAGACCTCTGGCTATCTTCAAGAGCCCTGGTTGTCTTCAAGAGCCCTGGTTGTCTTCAAGAGCCCTGGTTGTCTTCAAGAGCCCTGGTTGTCTTCAAGAGCCCTGGTTGTCTTCGAGAGCCCTGGTTGTCTTCAAGAGCCCTGGTTGTCTTCAAGAACCCTGGTTGTCTTCAAGACCCCTGGCTGTCTTCAAGACCTCTGGCTGTCTTCAAGAGCCCTGGCTGTCTTCAAGAGCCCTGGTTATCTTCAAGAGCCCTGGTTGTCTTCAAGACCCCTGGCGGCCTTCAAGAGCCCTGGCTGTCTTCAAGATCCCTGGTTGTCTTCAAGAGGGAGCTGGACAGACATATAAAGTCAGCACCTGACCAGCCGGGCTGTGATTCCTACGTTGGTTTACGTGTCGCCAGCAGTAACAGCCTGGTTGATCAGTCCCTGATCCACCACGAGGCCTGGTCGTGGACCGGGCTGTGGGGGCGTTGACCCCCAGCACAGCTTCCAGGTATACTCCAGGTAGGCATGGTACACATCCTAGCACCTTGTATTATCCTAGGATACCTCCTAGTCTCTATCACCCGTCCTAGCACATTGTGAGCTTCTAGGATACCTCCTAGTCTCTATTACCCGTCCTAGCACATTGTGAGCTCCTAGGATACCTCCTAGTCTCTATCACCCGTCCTAGCACATTGTGAGCTCCTAGGATACCTCCTAGTCTCTATCACCCGTCCTAGCACATTGTGAGCTCCTAGGATACCTCCTAGTCTCTATTACCCGTCCTAGCACATTGTGAGCTCCTAGGATACCTCCTAGTCTCTATCACCCGTCCTAGCACATTGTGAGCTCCTAGGATACCTCCTAGTCTCTATCACCCGTCCTAGCACATTGTGAGCTCCTAGGATACCTCCTAGTCTCTATTACCCGTCCTAGCACATTGTGAGCTCCTAGGATACCTCCTAGTCTCTATCACCCGTCCTAGCACATTGTGAGCTTCTAGGATACCTCCTAGTCTCTATTACCCGTCCTAGCACATTGTGAGCTCCTAGGATACCTCCTAGTCTCTATCACCCGTCCTGCACCTTCGTAATCTCCCACAGTAGTAACTCTACTGTGGAGTTCTTCTTAGCGTGGTATTAATGACAGGAGAGTCGAGTTTGCAATTTCCCCCTTGCAACAAACGACCTGCAGGAGCTTGCAGTACCCTGGCAGGAAGGGGCATCTAGTGTATACTACCCTCTTGAAAAAAAAGAGGCCCAGCCTTAGGCGAAACGTTGTATTAGAAAGATTGACCACTGCCGGTGTTTTTGTTCCTGCTCTCTTGCGCCCTGGGAAATGGGACATCCCGGTGTAGTACTTGATATGTAAGATATCTGTTCTGCAGATTATGGAGGAGAACTCTTCTCCAGACTGAGGGACTGACTCCCTCAACACTACGTCTTCCAGGGTGATGGACTGATTACATCGCCTTTACATCTCTACTGCTTCTGCAAGCTCTTCTGTACTCGTTGAAGAATTGAGACACTTATGCAACATATGGGAATCGTTATTAAAGAAACGTTTCACCACGCAGTGGCTTCATCAGTCTTATACAAACATGAAGGTATAAGGAGAGGAGGAGTTTGAGATAATCAGTCCCTCAGCCTGGAGTCGATGTGTTCAGTCTATCAATCTTGTAGAAAGTGCAGCACAGGGTCATAGCAGTGGCTTATATACTGTAGTACTCCTCTGTACTCGACTGAAGAAGCCTACTGTGTAGGCGATACATTTCGGAATAAAGATACCTAACTGTTGCATATATGTCTTACTTATCAGCCTGTCGGTATTGTATACCATGTTGATATTCAGTACGTGAGGTACTGAAGCAAATTCTTGGGTACCTAAGGTAAAAGGCTGTTGGCTGCCCGTCTTGTTGTGTAGAAACTGTCTTTTTGCTGTCCTCGGAGTGGAGCCGAGCGTGGTACTTTGACAGTGTTAGTCTTGTATATAACACTAAGGCCATCCACATCCTTCCTGTGTTGAAGGCTCTGCTGAAATGACAGATCTATCCAAGCTGGGTCCAGGCCAGAGATGAATCATCTTGCTCTCTCTCCTTTCTCTCTCTCTCTCTCTCTCTCTCTCTCTCTCTCTCTCTCTCTCTCTCTCTCTCTCTCTCTCTCTCTCTCTCTCTCTCTCTCTCTCTCTCTCTCTCTCTCACACATACACATACATACACAGTGTTGTCTAACAGTTGTGATCTTCTCCCACAGATGGCAGGGATGTGAGAGAGGGCAGCCATGCACACTAAGAACGTCAACATATCACAGCCTGGCCTCAACAAGAACGAAGTGAGTATCCGGATCACAGGATTCACCTCTCACCGTCGTTCTTGAGGTAATCCAATGCCCCATATCCACATTCTGGGGACAAACTGCGCCATATGTTTCTAACGCAGTAATTAGTCTTGAACATTGTAAGCCAGTCATATATAGTTTTCCTAAGTTATATCTGCTTACCTAGAGAATGTTCCGGGGATCAACGCCCCCGCGGCCCAGTCCATGACCAGTCTTCGTGGTGGATCAGGATCTGACCAACTATGCTGTAACAGTTGGCCACACGTAAACCAACGTAGGAACCACAGCCCGGCTGGTCAGGTACTGACTGTTGGTATCTGTCCAGCACTCTCTTGAAGACAGCCAGGGGTCTTAAAGACAGCCAGGGTCTTTAAGAGAGCCAGGGGTCTATTGGTAATCCCCCTTATGTATGCTGGGAGGCAGTTGAACAGTCTTGGGCCCCTGATACTTATTGTGTTGTCGATTAGCATGCTCGTGGCGCACCTGCTTTTCATTGGGGGAATGCTGCTTTCCAAGGGAGTGATTTTCGTCTGCAGATTTGGGACTAGTCCCTCTAGAATTTTCCAAGTGTATATTATCAGGTATCTTTCTCGCCTGCATTCCAGGGAGTATAAATCAAGGGACTTCAACCGTTCCCAGTAATTTAAGTGCTTTATCGTACTTATACATACCGTGAAACTCTGGGGGCGTTGAATAATAGTTCTAGGCCTTTTATGTTGCAATCAACACATCATCAGGAGTTTGAATGTTGGAGAAATAGAGTAGGAAGTCCAGGCCAATTCGTTCAAGGAAACGACTTTCTTTTCATTTCTGCAACATTACAAGCTCTTGATGATGTGTTGATTAAAACACGTCTTGATGATGTGTTGATTACAACACGTCATCAACTCTCCTTGTACTTATTTTGCATCTTTTATAGCTCGTTCGTGATTAATGAATAATGAACAACAATATATATATATTATATATATATTATATATATATATATATATATATATATATATATATATATATATATATATATATTGTTGTCCATTATTCAATAACAAATTAGAACGTTGACAGCACAAAATCTGTTCAAACTTCCCACTAAGAACACCAGGTTTGAAGCCAAAGTGAAGAGTCATTTTCAAGGTATCTCAGAAGAAGGACCAGTGTCCTAAAATACACAAGCACAGTAAGTTTGAAGGCAGTCAGATTGTATTATCAAGTTGTGATCCTTGAAGGGCGAAGGTAACTGAAGCAGACACTCAGATATTATGGCTGGAGAATCAGTTTTTCAGTCAAACATTAACTTATGTAAGTTAGGATAACTTAATAAAGTTACTGAAAGCTTAAACACCGAGGATTGTGCAGGTTATCCCGGTTATGTTGATAATGATATACAGTAGTGACAAGTTAATGATGAAGACACATGTTCAGCTGTTGGGTATCTTTATTGTTGAAATGTTTCACCTACACAGTAGACTTCTTCAGTCAAATACAGAGAATGTATCACAGACAACAGTAGTGACCAGATAAAGCTGATATAATCAGTCCATCAACCTTGTAGACTGCTACTGTATTGGACTGAAGAAACCTACTGTATAGGCGAAACGTTTCAACAATAAGGATACCTAACTGTTGCACACGTGTCTTCAGTATCAAATTATTCGACCCATTCCAGGATGATTGGAAATCCTTGAGGGACTAATCCCAAATCTGTACACGGAATCACTCCCTACGGAAGTTAAAAGCTCGGCAAGCGATGCAAACATCCCCCCACTGAAAAGTGTCATGGGTACGCTAGAGACAACAAAATAAGTGTTAGGGGCCCAAGACTGTTCATCTGCCTCCCAGTATAGATAATGCGGGTCACCAATAGACCTCTAGCTGTCCTCAAACCCCTGGCTGTCTTCAATACCCCTGGGTGTCTTCAATACCCCTGGCTGTCTTCAAGACCCCTGGCTGTCTTCAATACCCCTGGCTGTCTTCAAGACCCCTGGCTGTCTTCAATATCCCTGACTGTCTTCAAGACCCCTGACTGTCTTCAAGACCCCCTGGTTGTCTTCAAGACCCCTGACTGTTTTCAAGACCCTTGGTTGTCTTCAAGACCCCTGGCTGTCTTCAAGACCCCTGGCTGTCTTCAATACCCCTGACTGTCTTCAATACACCTGACTGTCTTCAAGACCCCCTGGTTGTCTTCAAGACCCCTGACTGTTTTCAAGACCCTTGGTTGTCTTCGAGACCCCTGGCTGTCTTCAAGACCCCTGGCTGTCTTCAATACCCCTGACTGTCTTCAATACCCCTGACTGTCTTCAAGACCCCTGACTGTTTTCAAGACCCTTGGTTGTCTTCAAGACCCCTGACTGTCTTCAAGACCCCTGGCTGTCTTCAAGACCCCTGGTTGTCTTTAAGACCCCTGGTTGTCTTTAATACCCCTGGCTGTCTTCAATACCCCTGACTGTCTTCAAGACCCCTGGCTGTCTTCAAGACCCCTGGTTGTCTTCAAGACCCCTGGCTGTCTTCAAGACTCCTGGCTGTCTTCAAGACCCCTGGCTGTCTTCAATACCCCTGGCTGTCTTCAATACCCCTGACTGTCTTCAAGACCCCCTGGTTGTCTTCAAGACCCCTGGCTGTTTTCAAGACCCTTGGTTGTCTTCAAGACCCCTGACTGTCTTCAAGACCCCTGCTGTCTTCAAGACCCCTGGTTATCTTTAAGACCCCTGGTTGTCTTCAAGACCCCTGACTGTCTTCAAGACCCCTGGCTGTCTTTAAGACCGCTGGTTGTCTTCAAGACCCCTGACTATCTTCAAGACCCCTGACTGTCTTCAAGAGCCCTGGTTGTCTTCGAGACCCCTGGCTGTCTTCAAGACCCCTGGCTGTCTTCAAGACCCCTGGCTGTCTTCAAGACCCCTGGCTGTCTTCAAGACCCCTGGCTGTCTTCAAGACTCCTGGCTGTCTTCAAGACCCCTAGCAGTCTTCAAGACCCCTGGCTGTCTTCAAGACCCCTGTTTGTCTTCAAGACCCCTGACTGTCTTCAAGACCCCTGACTGTCTTCAAGATCCCTAACTGTCTTCAAGATCCATGACTGTCTTCAAGACCCCTGGCTGTCTTCAAGGCCCCTGGCTGCCTTCAAGACCCCTGGCTGTCTTCAAGGCCCCTGGCTGTCTTCAAGACCCCTGGCTGCCTTCAAGGCCCCTGACTGTCTTCAAGACCCCTGTTTGTCTTCAAGACCCCTGACTGTCTTCAAGACCCCTGGCTGTCTTCAAGACCCCTGGCTGTCTTCAAGACCCTTGGCTGTCTTCAAGACCCCTGGCTGTCTTCAAGGCACCTGGCTGTCTTCAAGACCCCTAGCTGTCTTCAAGACCCCTGACTGTCTTCAAGACTCCTAGCTGTCTTCAAGACCCCTGGCTGCCTTCAAGACCCCTGGCTGTCTTCAAGACCCCTGGCTGTCTTCAAGAGCCCTGGATGTCTTCAAGACCCCTGGCTGTCTTCAAGGCCCCTGGCTGTCTTCAAGACCCCTGACTGTCTTTAATACCCCTGGCTGTCTTCAAGATCCCTGGCTGTCTTCAAGACCCCTGGTTGTCTTCAAGAACCCTGGCTGTCTTCAAGACCCCTGGCTGTCTTCAAGACTCCTGTTTGTCTTCAAGACCCCTGGCTGTCTTCAAGACCCCTGGCTGTCTTCAAGACCCCTGGCTGTCTTCAAGACCCCTGACTGTCTTCAAACCCCTGGCTGTCTTCAAGACCCCTGGCTGTCTTCAAGAGGGAGCTGGGCAGACACCTCAATTCAGTACCTGATCAGCCGGGCTGTGACTCCTACGTTGGTTTACATGTGGCCAGCAGTAACAGCCTGATTTATCAGTACCTGCTCCACGAGACCTGGTCATGGACCGGGCCGCGGGGGCGTTGACCCCCCGGAACGTCCTCCAGGTCACCTGCAGTGGTTCCTAGAATCTTACCCAAGTGACCGTACGTAAGTGCTGGTCACCGGGATCAGAATTCTGTTTTCCTGCAGGCAGGGAGGGTGGGGAAAGAGCCTTCTGCTTTGCTATCCCTAACTTACACAAACACTTGAAGTAATAGATAATTCACGATGATTTTTAATCCCAGCAGTAATATATAGTTCTTGGTAGTAGATACGTTAGTGTGGGGGTTTTTAACAAGCCCTCTGCTATTCTCTCTCTCTCTCTCTCTCTCTCTCTCTCTCTCTCCTCTCTCTCTCTCTCTCTCTCTCTCTCTCTCTCCTCTCTCTTCTCTCTCTCTCTCCTCTCTCTCTCTCTCTCTCTCTCTCTCTCTCTCTCTCACGCACGACAAGCACCGTAATGGAAGCGTAACTAAATCCACAGAACTCTGTGTAAATCCTTCACCATGAGAGTGTGTGTGTACCCCTTCACACACTCCTCCTCCTGGTCACCTTGTGAGGGTCACCCACCTGAGGTACTCCTTCTAGTCACCTCGTGAGGGTCACCCACCTGAGGTACTCCTGGTCACCTTGTGAGGGTCACCCACCTGAGGTACTCCTTCTTGTCACCTTGTGAGGGTCACCCACCTGAGGTACTCCTTCTGGTCACCTTGTGAGGGTCACCCACCTGAGGTACTCCTTCTGGTCACCTTGTGAGGGTCACCCACCTGAGGTACTCCTTCTGGTCACCTTGTGAGGGTCACCCACCTGAGGTACTCCTTCTGGTCACCTTGTGAGGGTCACCCACCTGAGGTACTCCTTCTGGTCACCTTGTGAGGGTCACCCACCTGAGGTACTCCTGGTCACCTTGTGAGGGTCACCCACCTGAGGTACTCCTTCTGGTCACCTTGTGAGGGTCACCCACCTGAGGTACTCCTCCTGGTCACCTTGTGAGGGTCACCTACCTGAGGTACTCCTCCTGGTCACCTTGTGAGGGTCACCCACCTGAGGTACTCCTTCTGGTCACTTTGTGAGGGTCACCCACCTGAGGTACTCCTACTGGTCACCTTGTGAGGGTCACCCACCTGAGGTACTCCTTCTGGTCACCTTG